GTAGATAAATTTCATCCTTACCTGAAAACTGACAATAGATTTTGTTATTACTTTGAATTGGGAGATTTATGTGCTTTAACTGTTCTGTAACGTCTAGAATAAGCTTGTTTTAGTTAATCTCAAACTTCCCGAAACTGAACCCTGCTCATAAATATGATATGGCTTAATCCATGGGACAGAAATCAATCTCTCCAAAATATTAAGAATAATGCTTAGCCATCCAACAGGAGGTCCAGCAAACCACTTTGAATCCAAAATCACAAACAAGATAACAAATTGAAGGTGTGGGGGGCTAGTTATGCTGACAGAATGGTCCTATTTGACTCCCCCTTCCCTGTTCTACTTCCTATGACACAACATTTTTCTGTGGTCAGCTTAAAATGAAAGAAATAATTTTCAAAGAGGTACTTGTGTATCCTATTCTCACAGTTCAGTGCTATCTTTCTTCTGTAGAGTTTATGCATTGGGATCTGGCAAGGCTGAAATGTATGTGCTCCAGAACTACTGTTACACGTTACTGACTTCATTCTGAAAATATAGAAATTGGCCATCCTTAGATGCATGACTGTCTGAGTGGATGTGCCTAAAATAGTACTATCTTGGATTTTTTTTTCCATTGTGTTGCTAATGAATTCAAAGTATCGCAGCTGGTTTCCTAAGTGCCCATTTACATTACAAATGTTTAAAGTTTTGGCAGAGGACATAGTTCCAGAGAGTTTGAAGAGGCCGAATATAAATCCTTAAGAATAAGCTTTAGATGATTACTTCATGTTTCATTACAGTTCATTACATTATTTGTAGTTATATCAATATATTGTAGAACCAACAGACTTATAGCAATTGTTTACACCCTCTGTACAGAGAAGCTCTGGGTAGTATAGCTAAGTCCAGTTGTGTTGGTGGGGTGAGGGTGGGTGTCCATTGTAATAAAAGTTCAAACTGGTAATGGCTGTTTTTAATTTCTTCTTTCACACAAATTATAATATTTAGTATTGTTAAAAGAAGGCAGCATTTGGACTAATGCCACTACAATGCTTAAGTATAACGTATTTAATCTTCATTGTATCAATTGCAATGTTTGGATCTTACTTCCTGCAACATCACAGTATATCTCTTACCCAGAGAGAACAACCTGATAGATCATCATTACTCATCCATACCATATATCATGACTGTGCTGTTATATTATTGAAAAGCAGTTCCTTACAGCACTAACCTAATACTTCATAGGGTTACACGTTACCCAAGTCTGTAATAAAACAACGAGTAAGGCGGTGGAAGCTTACCTCCTGGAGTTTTAAAAACTGAGATTTTGGATTTCCTTTTTTTGTGCTTTTAAAGCTATTCATCCCTAATTTTATAGGTGGTCAATATGGGATAGTTCAACTAATTGAGGGCAGCACTATGCAGTAGAAAGCCTTCAACAAGCCTTAATCCAACGTAAATGCATGCTTCCTTTTCCTTTTAAAAGAAATTTCTAATATGAATTAACCTTCTGTTTTCTTTTTTTTTTGCCGGTTTGTGCTGCCCAAATAAATCATTTCATATCAGATCTGCATTCCAGTTATCATTTGCACTAGGAGCACTGCACTGACTTTGATGTGGGCTAATTAAATTTACATTTCCTGCAGACAGTTTGCAGTGCTTAAATAAATCAGTGTCGAAGAGTTTGCTTGCTTGAAAAAGATGCAGGTTTGATCTACAGTACATTTCATATAAGTGAAATGATGCAACTTGAAGTCGTTAGGCAGGCTCCTAAAAGCACAGCTTTTCTGTTTTACATCTCCCCAAATCCTAGGAAAAGTACTATTTTCCTGCAGTGTTGACCTTATCTCGTAAATAACATTTCACTAGTATGGGCAACATTAAGCAAACATCCCATCTAATGGTTAGGTAAGTAAGGCTGCTTACTTTGCCTGCTGCGTTACTTTTCGTCTGTACCTGAAGATTTTATTGGTACATTATTGAATACTGTTAGGGTTGGGCTTAACAGAATACTTTAAAACACTGTCATGACTTGCTGACACCGGGAAACGATGAGGGTAAAGTCATCAATTTTTATAATCTGTTTTAGAACATACCCCTGGCTATTATTGCAAGTCATCGCCTTCCCACGTGAAAATTGGCTACTGCAGTGATGCATTGCAGGATAAAGTCAGCCCTACAATGTGTATTCTTTGAACATTGTTTTGGAAGCAGAAGGATCCGCAGCCTGAACTCTTTTTCTGTCTTGTATGATGAAGAAATCTCTCTTTTTAAAATACACAGGCATGCAGCTTTTTCAGCCTTGTTTAAACACGTGTGCTCTGCAGCCACGTTAGTACATCATGCACAACCGAACGTGTTTTTAGCTCCTGTAATTGGGTGTGTGGCTGACGGGTCATTTTTTTTCCACCATTGAAAAAAAAAAATGAGACGTGTATCCTTCTATTATAGAAAGAGGTAGTCCTCTTTTGCTAAGTGAGACAGTTGTGAAGTGAATTTTGCCCCATTTTACGACCTGTCTTGCCACAGTTAAGGGAAGCATTGCAGCTGTTAAGCCTCCCCATTTGCTTGTCAGAGGGGCTGCAAAACAGATCACATGACCCTGAGACCCTGCAACGGTCATAAATATGAACCAGTTGCCAAGTGTCTTGAGTTTTGGTCACGTGGCCATGGGGATGCTGCAACGGTCATAAGTGTGAAAACTTCGAACAGTCACTAAACGAACGGTTGTAAGTCGAGGACTTACTTGTATCGCTTGATTCTCTGAAGCAAATCTTCTATTTATGTGATAATGAAAGTGAGGATATAAAGCAAAATTGTTCCCACTTTCCTCCCTCCATTCCGTGTCCATATTTTAACTGATAGAGATTTTATAAGTGCTAGGAAATGTGAACTTTGTTGTTGTTGTTTTTTGGTATCATTGTTGCTTTTATAATATACAATGTTGTATTTCTACTGTGGCTTATTGCAGCAGAACTGAAATTCAGAATGAGTCAAAACACTTTAAGATAATCCTAAAGATAAAATAAAGCAGATCTTCAGATAAGCGCACAGGCTCATCTATTTCTCATTTCTGTTTTGTACAGAACAGAGATGTTGATATAATTTCTTGTTAAGTGAAGTGCGGAATTCATATACATCCACAGCTCCCTGCTTCTAATTCACGTTATCATAATTTAAGGCTTCACGGTAGCACCCCTTTCTCCAAATAGGTATCCTCCCGATAAAGTGAGAATGTAACTTTCAGAATTTTGTGCAGATGTTCATTGCCTAGAAATTCTGGAATGTGTCGTTCTAACTTACCTTGAGGACACCAGGTTGTGGTTGTCCATATGGCATTTGAAACAGTGACTGATTTCTTATTATAGTAAGACAACTAATGATGGTACATAGACACTCCCAAAGCAGTGTTCATAAGTATATTCCTTCATCTGAGTGGTTAAACCACTAAACAGTGTTGGTATTTACTAAGAGGAATGTTCTCAATTTAGTGCTGCACTGCAGGCTTGAAACATTTCCTATAAAACCATAGTTTTGTGAGAGGCAATGCTAAATATCAGAAATGGAAACCATTCTACATTTTAAAACTCCTAGGTGACATTTTATAAGAGCATATCGTGAACATTTAATTATTTAGTTCTTTTTATATAAATTTGTGACTTAATAACAATATTAGGATGGTAAAGTCCTGATATTTTCAATAAGCTTTTGAATTGACTGTGGCTTATATAGGCTGCTCCAGTCCAGAGGGACTCCAAGTGGCTTACAATTCCTTTCTTTCGGTAAGAAGATTAAAACAACAAAACAATATCACAAAAAAAAAAGAAAGACGACTTGTAATAGCAAGTACAGTTACAAATAAAATTGTGTCAGCTGATAAATAATAAATGCCAAATCCTTCTCAGGTTTTTCTTTGAAAGCCAGTTTTTTATGGGCTTCCTAGTTTGGTATAGTGGTTAAGGCATTAGTCTAGGAATTGGGAGAGTGTGAATTCTAGTCCTGGGCCAGATTGACCTTGGGCCAGTCACTTCCTCTCAGCCCTGGGAAGGAGGCAGTGGCAAAGCACTTCTAAAAAACCTTGCCAAGAACATTGTAGGAATTTTTTCAGGCAGTTTCTGAGAATCAGACATAATTGAAAGGAAGAAGGAAAAAAAAGCAATAGAATGGGAGCTAATCTGATTTGGAGGTAAAATTATGCCAAAGAAGAAGAGTGGCAGCTAATACATCTCAGGTTTACTATAGTCCTGCCAATTTTTTCTCTCATATTATGCTCTCTGATCCTGGTTTCCACCCACTAGGAATCTGTGCATCCGGAATTTTAAGGGGCATTGATATTTTAGCCACTGTTTAGGATCTCCATGCTGTTATCCCTACGTCATCTATTTTTGTGTGGTTGTACATGCCTGTGGCTGCCTAAAGTTAAAAGGAAGTTTTACTTTTCCTTATATTTTTAATAAAAAAGTTTTGTACAGTACTTTCTACTTTTGCTTGCAACTCCTGAAAAAAGAAGTGGGAGTTGTTTTTCTTTGGACCACATATGTCAAAGCCAGGATAAGATACTGCAGATTTTCCTCTTTTCTTCTTTGTCGTGGTCATCATCATCTTCATCATCATCATCCCCCTGATGCTGAGGCTATGAGTTGTCTTATCTCTCTTACACACCAGCATTAAGAAGACAGATTCCATTCCCCCCCTCCAATAAATGGTGGCACTGGAAGCCAAAGGACTACAAAATAGCTGTGTCACAACAAAAAGTCAAGATCAAAAGAGCGAGTGGTACAAAAAGCTGTGTGGCCATTGAGGGACAACAGGTCTTCCTTCCTAAACATACCCAAGTTCTTGATCCAGCATTTTTGGAATTGAATTGAATTCACAACAAAGGTTTTGTTTTAGTATTAACTGCTGGTTTTAGTATTAAAAAATTGAAATGATATCTAAGCTAAGTTAGAATTAAAGCCTGGTCGTAGTTTGGAAAAACCTAAATGTTTGCTGCTTTTAATAAGCATGTTGTTTACATTTTAGGCAAAGTCGTGCATCTGTCATATGTGTGGTGCCCATCTGAACAGACTCCATTCTTGCCTGTACTGTGTCTTCTTTGGCTGTTTTACAAAGAAACATATTCACGAGCACGCAAAGGCAAAGCGACACAACTTAGGTAAGTAATTATATCCGAGATTCTTGCGTTAAAATTATTTGTTTTATGACGGCATGAGCTTTACAATAGGGGAAATACTGCAGTTAGATTGAATAAATTCAGACAAGTTGTCTCTTCTGGCTATGGAGAATATTCCTTATCATCCATGCAGGAGGTTTTTTTTTTAAAAAAAATTAATATTGAAGTCACCCTTTAATTATGTCCATCATTAATTGAAGCTAAATATGTATAAATAACCAAAAAGCCGGCTAATGGAAATAAAAGTTACAGTTTCTCATTTTTTTTATGTCTTCTTCTGTTACAAAATCTGAAATTACAGGAAAGGTTGCAATTCCTGAGGATTCTTAGTTGAAGAGCACATCATTTTAACAGAAAATAGGGAAACAAAATGCAGCTCTTAATTTGAGTAGGATTGATATTTACTCAACGATGCCATTTCTTATCTAAAGTCAAGTGGCCTACATAGTAATTTACCTTAGCTAGATTTCAGATTTTTTAACATCCAAAATTTCATTTTTATTTGTAAAGGTACACATTTTTTTTTTACCCAGTTCACTTCAGAGCTTTTCCTCAAGTTTTTCTTTAATCCATCTATGATTTTACATATTTTATAACTGCTGTATTTTGACTGAAAATAGACATTTAGCTGTAGACCCTCCTTGTAGGTTTCTTTTTACTGTTGTGTATTTACTTTGTTAGCCTCATCTCCCTGGATTGGCAGATGGTCAGCGTGATAGGATTCAGCCAACAGTATGTCATCTTCTTATCCATGTCTATATAAATGCCCTGCTGTTTAAACAATTATATATAATTCCTTTTATTTTTGATATCAATTTGGAAACTCTTAGCCGCCAAGAAGCCTGAATTGTTTAGGCTTAGATACTGAAGAGTAAATCCAGTAATGTTTGCAGTGGCAGACACCATATCCACGTAGTGTGATGTTGCTGTTGCTGCTACCACAACCACTGCCCTTTGGCTCCAGACAATTATAGGTAGTCACTCGACTTGCAGCAGTTTGTTTAGTGACTCTTCAAAGTTACAACAGCACTGTCAAAAGTGACTTACGACCGTTTTTTCACACTTACGACCAGTGCTTTTTTTGTAAAAAGAAAAGGTGCCAGAACTCACACACGTCATACAACCCGCCTTGCCTACCCTACAAAGTTCCATCCAAGGTGCAGGAACTCCGTTCTGGGTGTTCTATGACAAAAAAAAAGCCCTGCTTACGACCATTGTAGCATCCCCAGGGGCACGTGATCAAAATTCATATGCTCGGCAACTGGCGTGTATTTATGACGGTTGCAGTGTCCCGGGGATGTGATCCTCTTTTGCGACCTTCTGTTAAGCAAAGCTGAAGGGGCAGCCAGATTCACTTAATAACCATGTTACTAGCTAGACAACTGCAGTGATTTATTTAACTGTGGCAATAAAGGTTGTAAAACGGGGCAAAACTCACCTAACAAATGTCTCACTTAGCAACAGAAATTTTGGGCTGACTTGCGTGCGTAAGTCAAGGATTACTGTACTCTCTCTCTCTCTCTGACAGCGTTTGTCGCAAAACATCACCCCAAATGCAAAATCACTACTGCTCAGCTCTGCTTCCAGTTCATTCTCAACTGGGCACATACCAGAATGAACAAAATTTCTTCTTTGAAGCTCTTAGTGACTCTGCTTAGCTAACAGCAGTCTCCATGGAGACAAAGAGAAATTCAAACTCCGGGGACCCAACTGTACATCATTAACCAAAGCAGTTACATGTATATTTGCAAAATGAAGTATTTGCATGTTTTGCACCCAGAGGTCTAAGCAGGCAGGAGTGAACAGAAACAATTGAGGGATTTGCCAACTTGTTTTATGTGGCTTGTCCCTGACAATCTTCTTTCATAGTTCATAAGCATTGGGCTCACATTTTTATATTCTGAATTATGTTCTGGGTTTTTCCGCATGTTTCATTTGGCTGGTACTGAACCTTGCAGTAAACACTCTACATATCCTGATCTCTGTGGTAGCTGGAGATGACCTTTGGTAAAAAGCTCAGTTTTTCTGGCTGTGGTGGCCCTTCTTCCATTATCCCTTGAATTAAGAAAAATAGTATCTATGGTCCAATTCTCAGAGCAATGTTGAAAACAAGTTGGTCGTCTTCAGAGGTTTATCAAGCCATACAAATGAACTGGACTCTTCAAACTCTATTTGAAAAGTTATAAAAAAGAAGAAGAAAATGGAGCTCATAAGTCATAAATGTTACACTGTTATCACACCATTACAGCTCCTTTGAAAAAGCAGATCAAGTAGCTTCCTTATCTTTCAGCAAGGCATTAAAAATTTTTCCAATAGTACCGTAAGAATCTTGAACCCTGAAGGAACTTTGTCCATATTTCAGACATTTCAGACCACTGTAGGAATATGAGTGCAGGAATCCACCACTTTCTCTGTAAAAAAAAATCTCAGTGTGGTTAATATACTAATCATATAAACGCAGATAACTCAGTCTTGCAAAATCATAGTAGACTTTTCAAAATTTGCTTTCTAGCATCCAGATAACTTTAGAGTGTAAACTCATTTTTCTGGTTAAGGAACTGAGTTATGGATGCTCTCATTCCTGGCAAATGGGTGGCTGGATAAATGAGCCCAAACTGGAATGGAAAGAGACTGATGGGTTTGTTGTGTGCAGGCTATCATAAGAGGCCATCTCAATGGTTGCTTCCAGGATGTGAATTAATAAAATAGTTTAATCGCTGCTAAAGAATCAAGTTTGATGCAAATTAGGCTGATTATCCAGGATGACTTACATAAGGCCTTTATACAAATATAAAGATTACTCTCCCTCACACACAGAGATAAAATATATATATAAATACATAAGGGAAAACATGTCAGTGAACAGTGATTATGTGATTTGATGGTGGCTATGTAACAGAATCTGCTTCCGTTGCTATTTTCATATTTTTATAAAAATCTTCACGAGAAGAGGATTTTTTTTGCACTCAATTTTCAAATGTCAAGTTACCCCATTTTTATACTAGAGAGTTTTGTGGTAACTGACACTGCTGTCTTTTGTTTATTTACTTTTAAATATTATTGCAGAATTACTTAGATTTGTAGCCAAGTTGCAGACTAGAACATATATTAAGATCTATAAGAAATGCTCTGTTTTAAACAACACTGAAGCTTTATTTTAGGGTATAACATTCAGATAATCATATTGTAAGGCTCTTGACATTCATCCACCCATTATATTGCTATAGCAACAGTTAACTGGGATGGGTTATATAAGCAAGAACTGCATTCTATGCTATATAGTTAAATGATGTTTTTCATTTTAAAAATCATTCCCATCTTATTATATGAAGAGAAAGAAATGTATATGTATGAAATTAAGATAAATAAACCTCCCCATTCATCTTTTACATTAATGAACGGTTTTACCTGTTAACTCTAGTGTGCATAAGTTATTTTGCAAGCAAAAGCAATTCCACACGAAGATTGTATTTTTTTTTAAAAAAAAACTAATCTGCTTTAAAGCCAAACATCGTATTGAAGCACAGTTATTGGGTGAACAGCCTTTTCACATAACAAGTCTACATAAATCCATTTTAAGATGCTATGAGACACGGGTATCCATCCCTGACCCAGTCCCAGATACATTAGTAAATCTGCCAATTAATGATGGGAACTACTTTTATAAAAATTCCCGTTTGATATCTGGATTTCCAGTTTAATTTAGTGGAGTTACTTATTTCAGTTTCAGCAATGGAATAGGGCATTTATTTGTAAATTGTGATAGAACAGTATTAAGCAGCAATTTAACCTATGAGAGTTTTGAAATCTTTGTTCTTAATTTGGTTTGACTTAGTAGAGCATCAGACTTAGTTACATTAGAATATGGAAATGATCCAGGATCACAGTTGCATGTCTTAATCAATCTACTCTTCCAGTCATGTGTAATTCAATAGCTAAACAAGGAAAAGAGATATATCCTCATTGTAAAGGGGTTTGTTAATCTTATTTTAAAATTCAGTAACCTTTGGGAGGCTTTTCCTAATGAAAATAGATTTTCGGTTTTCTTGGTGTTAAAAGATACATAGCTCACTGGCAAATTGGAGGTCCGTTAATTATTAGAATATATAGGCAACCCTTTTTGAAGCTTATGACTTGACCTCGATGTATACCTAAAATTGCATGGCTTTGTAGATTTAGCATGTATACCATTCAGGACTATCAGATAATTCTTGATTTAAAATTTGTTTTTAGAGATTTGAGATATAGCTCTCTCACATTGCTTAAAAACAATACAATCCACTATTTCTATCTTTCCTTAACACGATGGAATGTTTTGAGGCTTGCAGAAAAAGGTATGTCCAAGCACAAAATAATTCTATAGAAGTTTCTCCACTTAATTCTTACTCTCTGCAGGCTGATGAACATAAATAGCGGCATAGAATCGATTTTCACAGGGAATGTGAACCTGTGCCTCAGCTGCTGAGAAATATTTTCATATCCTTGGTTGTGTTGGAGATTCATACCTCAGAATCTGTAATAATTTAACCAGGAAGATTTTTAAGCGTTGCTGCTGGTCTGAGGCTTGGCAATAGACATATATAAAAGTCATAACCTTTGTCATGTGATAATAGTCTGAGTTGTTAATAAGGAGAGGTTAATTATAGACAATTCTTTATTTTCTTAATTTTTTTAAAAAAAATGTTTCTTTTTCTCCATCCCTTCCCCTTCTGCAGCCATAGACCTTTTGTATGGGGGTATATACTGCTTTATGTGTCAAGATTACATATATGACAAAGATATGGAACAAATTGCCAAAGAAGAACAGCGGAAAGCTTGGAAACTACAAGGTTTGATTTATCTTTTAAGTATCTGCCTGAAAGAAGGTTTTCATTTCGAGTCGTTCCTAGCCCTTTTATTCTCGTAAAAGAAAAATAATAAAACTTTTAAGGAACGTTTTGGGAGAGAGAAATGTAGAGATATTTCTCTTCAGGAGTTAAACTGAACACATCACGTAAGAATATTTGAAAGAATATTTCAAATATTGAAAGAATATTAGAAAGAATATTTCAGTAAAATACGTTCTTCCCTTGTGATTTGCAGAGTTAATAATAAAGCAGAGTATTCAGGTTTTTTTGGAACATACTAGGCAAAAAAACCCTGAACCCCTATATTCTTCATACAAAACACCCCACTTTCCCTAGACTGTGTGCCAGCTTGACAAAAATGTCGCCTTGTTTGCACATACATTATGTAGATATGTAGAAACACAAATATATGTACACACATTTGTTTGGTTATTCAGTTTTCTTTCCCTAATTCTTTTCTTTTTTAGCCTTCACCCCAACCATGATTTCTCACTACCAGTGTACAATGACAGGTAAGAAGTGTGAGCTGGCGACACATTTCACTCGCAAGTGTCCCTTTGCTGATTATCTGCCATTATCTGACAGAATTTGCATTGTTTTCATATTGTAAAGAATGTATTTCGTGATCCAGGAACCCTCAGTTTGCTATATATATATTGTTTCTCTAGTAAAACAAGGCGTTTTACAGCAAACTTTTTCAACCTGCAGCCTTTTTGATGGCTGGGAGGGCTGTTTTAACCGTTAGGTATCGAAAGTTGAATAAAACCTTTTTCTTCCAAATTAAAATAAATAGTTGATAATTACGTAAGTCCTTGTCCTGTAAATATTTGTCCATGTATTTAACGACGTGTCTTTATTGTTTGCTCCTTACTTACATAAGCTTGTTTCTGCCATTAACACTAATCCGAACAAATATGTATGCAAATTCATCGTGATATGCCATGTCTAGTACATGCTTACTGTGCATAGTGGATATAATTCTTGAGATCTTCTTTAATCCACCCCTCCGGTTGATTTGTGCTAAGTCCTTCCCTTCATGCCAGTTGTTTCTGCATTCTAGTTTTATAAGATTTCAAAAAGTTAAACCAGTGGTCCTTTAAAAGAGCCAGTGGGTTTCTTGAGAAAGCACAGTTTTTGAAAAGCTTTGCCGAAGACCCTAGCTGAGTCATTTTATCTGTCTATGTAACAGTGTCTCATTCATCTTTGCAAATGGAATTTCATAGTTTGATTTGTTTAGAGTTACTCTGTCCAGTGTTTCATGGAAATCTACTTTAACTTTATTTCCTGTAAGGTATTTTCCTTTTGGTGGTTAGAATATTAGCTTAGTAGTAACACAGGAGATTCTTGTTATTTGAGGTCCCCCCCTTTTTTTGGCGTGACATTGTAGAATGTTTTATCTGGTGAAGATCATCTATAAGAACATCTATCTCTAACTTGCATAGTCATATATAGAATTGGATTGTTAGTGTATTAAATTGAAAATTTAAATGTCCAAGGGGTATCAGTTTATTACTCTGTTTTACTAACATCTCTGATTATAATAATTAGATTCAAAAAGCCACCAAGATGACCCATTTCTCCCCTTTCTTCAAATAGTTATCTCTTCCAAGCAGACTCATATACAGTGTGCATGCTACACACACACCTGCATACATGTAGATATACACACATATATAGTCTCATAGACAGACGACAATCATTTGTTGTTCAGCAACACATTGTTAAGGAAAACCTATAACAAGGATCCAAAGAGCTGTTTATACTCAGTGGATATGTAATTGCCCAGTAGAATAGCTACCTTTCCTCTCAGACTCTCCTTTAAAACTGTTCACTCTAAAAACAGACTTGCCAGACTCAGGAGCTATTCTTTGAGGCAGATAAGCTTCAGCAGTCTTACAGAATTAATTGCAAAGTTCTTTGGCTCTCAGCCTATATAATTTATGGTCCAGATTGCAGAGACAGACTGAGGGGGATATTAGTTTTTACATACTAAGGAAATGGTTTGAATATCATCCACATTGTATCGGTTCTATACATCAGCTTTTCAAAATAGCACATAGCTGCCTAATGAATTGGATTATTTATTTTTTGCTGTTGTCATCATATTTTTTTTAAAGTATCTCCACTCAAAGGTCATGCTTCAGGGATGGTTGCTCTGACAGCATAGCTGTCTTAACTCAAAAGACCAACCTCTATGAAGGGCAAACTGCTATTGTGTTTTTAATTTAAAAGTATTTTCATCCACTGTTAGGAATAAGAAAAGGAGAGGAAATTGTTACTTTAAAATGCCAATACAGTCCAAACAATAAGTCTTGTATGTTTTTAACACACATTTGTGGGAACATATTTAGAAGGTCAGAACTGTAGAGGAAATAAATAGGGCAACCTATTTAATGAGTGGTGCAGTTTGCATGGCAAAGTATCCTTATAGCTACAAGCAGTCTTCTGAAATATAGTCCTATATTTCTTTTCATTATCCAGGTATTGGAGAGAAGTATTCAACGTGGGAGCCAACCAAACGAGAGTTAGAGCTGCTTCGACATAACCCCAAGCGACGAAAAATAACTACAAATTGTACCATAGGTAAGGGAGAATTGCATACCTCACTTAACTCTACAGTCATCTGCAGAATTACAGGTAGTCCTTGCTTACCAACCATTTGTTCAGTGACCGTTTGAGGTTATGGCGCTGCTGAAAAAAAAAAATAACTTTACAGACCATTTATGACCTTTGCAGCATCCCTCAGTCATGTGATTGCCAATCAGTACGCCTTTGTCTGTGCCTGACGTTTCTTCCTTTCTTTTCCCCTTTGCAGAGCAAGAAAGACTTGAGAGAAAGGGATTGCAAGAGAGTAAGCTGTTCCCTCTTCTGTACATCAAAAGCAGTGTGATCATACTAGCGGCCCAGGGCTGGGAGCCACAGGTGTACTACACAAGCTTACAGTACTCTCTTGAAACCTATTTCTCTCCAGTCTCTCCAGTCTGCCAGGAAGCAGGAAAGCAAGAGGTTTCTGTAGTCTCCTTTGCATGATCCTTTCTCATTGCTGGTGTGAAATCGTCCTCTCCAGTCTCTTTGCTCTGCAAATGAGGGAGATAGAAAATGAGATTTCTGTAGGCAATCTCTCCCCCCTTTGTGGAGCAGCAAGATGGAAGAGAGATTTCAAAGGCTGTGGCGCATTGCATTGCTTTTCATGCGTACAAGAGAGTAAGCAAGCCAAGACACAACAGCTTCCTAAAGTTTGAAAGGGAATGGTTAGCAGGCAAACGCAGGCCACAGGTATGAAACTGAGTAGTCTTATCTCCTTCCTGCCAGAAACCACAGTCTTCATCATGGGATTTCCAATTGCTGGTCCTAATTAGGGTCGTTAAGCAAGGACTATCGATATTCATGCTTCATTAGTCTTTTACGTATTGATTTCCTATTTATTGCACTTTGACTTCCCTGTATCAAAATATTGATATAGACCATCTCCATGTGAAGCTGGAGACTTGGATATTGTTAATACTTTGAAGGGAGTCAAGTTTTGTCTTTTTTACTTATCACTTTGGTAATGCTTACCTATTTGTCTCTTTTCTCTCTCCTATTTTATGATCCTTTTGCCCTGTTTCTAAATGATAAACTATCTTTCGTTCTTTCATCTTTTATTCAGTCTGACATATTTTTGTTGCTCAGATGGTTTGTTGTTACTTTATCAATGTATTCTTTCCCAAAGAAAAAACTCAGAAAAGGACAAAATCCTTCTTTCTTTTTCCTTCCTTCCTTCCTTCCTTCCTTCCTTCCTTCCTTCCTTCCTTCCTTCCTTCCTTCCTTCCTTCCTTCCTGTTTCCTGCATTTTAATTTCTATTTTCAAACAGTTGTTCCATCCATCCAATACCTAATTATAAGAAAAACTCAAGGCTTCCTTTATATTTCATCCAATCTCTCTCTTGTGTTGCTGTTCTTATTTTTCTGCATAAATTCCTTGAGGGCAGGGTGGGTTTTAATTCTTCTTAGGTGTAACTGTTGTTGGCATTATACACTTTCAAACTACAGTAAGTAAGGGTATACATTCAGTTTTTCTCATGCTTCTACAACTTTGGAATCCATATATCATAAAAGTACTACAGCCTTGGAGTTAAGTGGATGCCAGTTCTGAAGAACTGAAAATTTAGACCGGAAAACAAATGTTAAAGAAACTCAAATGTCTTGGGGAAATGGTTTATGAAGCCGTGTCTGTATGCTGAAAATGATGAAAAGTTGGTGGAAATGGTTCATTTCATATGTTACTAGGACACTGTAGGACAGAGTTTTCTACAGAAGGTTCCACTATTGTAAAAAAAAAGTCCAGCCATGTGTCAAGTCAGTAGCGCTGGACAAGATTGTATTTGGATAAATTGAAAGTCTGAGTAGGACCACTGAACAATGAAACAACTTTGCTTGTTTGTTCTGTTGGCTGTTTTGACTTTTGTTGAAAGGTTTCTAACTTTCCTTAAAGTAGAAATCTCTACACTCAGGAATGGGTGTTGAGGTGAAGAATCCAGAATGAAACGGATAAGAGAAATAACAATTCTTCATTCTTCTGTATGCAAAATATTTAATCATTTCTCAGCTTTTGTATTACCTTTATGTCAGTTGCACATTTTACTTGAATGAAACTTGGAGTTATATCCGTAAATATGGTTTGCATGATTTTTTTATTTATAGGAATCAAGCAAGCACACAGAGATAAATTGCTTATATTTTCACTGTCCTCTGTGACCAATTAATGGGTCCAGGATACCCATCCCTGGTGGTTATCTACCCCTAAAAATGGGTTTCCCCCCCCCATTGGTATCTTTCTGAATTCATTCAGGAATACATACCAGCGATCAAGCTCCATCAACATCCTTAGAACTAGCGGGGTTTCCTTTAAAACTGGTTGAACATTTCCCAGCAATTCAGACATTTAATAATAATAATAAATGTAAGCCTTTATCATTAGTCCTTTAGAGTTATTTGAGAGTGTTAAGAAGTATTTAGTTTGCTTGTTTGGGGTCCATAGGCATGAAAGATCAAGTAGATTGTATATACACACCTATATTTTTTAAAAAATGATAGATTATTTGGTTAGGCACACAAGTAGTCCTCGACTTACAACAATTGGTTTAGTTACCATTCAAAGTTACAGCGGCATTGAAAAAAGCGAGTTATGACCGTTGCTAGGGTCACGTGATCAAAATTCGGGCGCTCGGCAACTGACTCATAATTTTGACGGTTGCAGTGTCCCCGGATCACGTGATCCCCATTTTGGGACCTTCTGACAAGCAACGTCAATGGGGGAGCCCGATTCGCTTAACGACTGTGTTACTAATTTAAGAACTGCAGTCATTCACTTACAAACAGTGGCAAAGAAAGTCGTAAAATGGGGCAAAACTCACCTCACAACCGTCTCACTTAGCAATAGAAATTTTGGGCTCAGCTGTGGTTGTAAATTAAGGATTACCTGTACACAGATATTTCAGCCAAATTTCTAATCCCGTCTTAAGTCAAAGTAACGAGTGTAGCCTAGGCAATTTGACCCTGTGATTTAAAGCTGAGGAGGCCAAACAGGAATGCCTAGCTATCACAGTAGAATTAAGTAGGACTTGGGGTTCTCTAGAGGGTCAGCTTATACTTAAATGGTCTGACATTAGGAGTGAATAGAAAGTTGGCAAAGTTTGTTGATAACCCCAACTTTTTCAGGATAGTGAAAACTTAAATCGGATTATGAAGAGCTTCACAAGACTCTCCCCAAACTGGGTGAATGGGCAGCAAAATGGCAAATGCAGTTCAATGTAAGTAAGCTTAAAGTGATGCACATTGGGGCACAAAATTACTTTCACACATAATTAAGGGGCTAATTTGACTTTCTAAACATCAGAGGGATTTTGGGATCACGGCAGGCAGAAACATACTGTTCCAGCATACAGTGGCTGTGAAAAGGCCCCCCTTCCCTCTTTATTATGAACATTCGAATAACCTTGTTATATATTCAGGAAAATTTGTGGTGTGATCCCTTGGAATATGTGCTGTTCTGACATACTTTATTCAGATTTGTGGAAATGGGAAAACGGGCAATGTAATTATCGGAAGTCTGGAACAATTTCCTTGTAAAAAAATAAACTACGGCCAAGAGCATTTTAATTGAAAAGAGGGATGAGGGATTCATGTTACCTAGGAAGAGATAGAGAGGTATTTCTTTTGTAAGAATTTCATGCCATGAACTGAACAACTGGGAAATTCTGGAGTAAAAAAAGTATTACGTAAAGTTTGTATTGTTGTAAACAACCATAGGACCCTGATAATCATAGCAAGCTGAGTAAATAGACAAATAATTCACGTTATTTATTACTTTGTGAGGCCTGTTTACCACCAAGTCTGTTAATAATATAGCACAGTGTGTATAAAAGGATGCATATTGACTTCTGCTCAGTACAGCTAATCTGCAAATTTTTAAAATAGGTTCTGCATATAACACTCTGAATAACTTCTGACTTCTAATTCAAGACATTACTGTTCTGCTATGTCATATCAGCCTTATTTGGAATCAGAAGCCTGATAATGTTTTAAGTAGATTAGTTTCAAATGCTTTCTAATTAAAAGGGGAAAAAAACAAAAAATTCCCCAGGTTCATTCTTTCTATTGTGCTGTATCTTATTCATGTGATGTCAATGAGCACATCAGATTAATTTCAGAAATCAGGGATGTATGCACGGGGCTGGTTAATGCAGGGTGTTGTGTATATGTGTGTTTTTTCCCTCTTTCCTTGCACAGCTTGTATTTTGTTATCCTTCTCTTTTCCCCTCTCTAAGAACAGTCTTCCTGAACAGCCTAAAGTATTAGAGAACGGTCTGCTTCTGATTAGCATATGAAGTTACTTTGTGGCCGAAAGACTATTGTTTTCACAATAGGCAGAATTAGGCTTCCAAAGTACCAGGGCTAATTAGCTAAAGCCACCTGGGATTCTCATTTGTTACATTGCCAAAAGAAAAGAAAAAAAAAAGCAGAGGAACAACCTCTTTTTTAAAAAAAATATATAGAGGGAAATGGAGGGGGGGGGAGAAACTGTTTTCAGGAAATAAAAGGAGGACTGGAAGAGATGCCCCTGACAATAGCGACAGAACAGTGGCAGGTGTTCTTTTGCAGCTGTGTGACATTTGGTAGCATGACCTGGGGTAGGAAAACATGAGTGGAATAAATATTGTAATAGTTCCTCAGCCTAAAAGTGGCACCAAGAAGGTTGGGTATGCTGAAAAGTAATTAAGACATTAGTTCTGGTTCTGTAGGCGCAACATCCCAAAAACATTGCTTGAGCCTTCAATATTATGTAAACGAAGCCTGAGTATCTGTGCACGAGGACAGAGGTGATGGGAGGATGTTGAAAATTGCATGAATGAGTACTTTAATGATAGTTTTTGGGGTATTTTTGTAGTTGTTTTTATCAGGCTGTTAGCCGCCCTGAGTCCGCAAGGAGAAGGGCGGGGTATAAATTCAAATAATAAATAAATAAATAATAAATAAATACTTTTAGAATAACTGGTTGATGAACTGGGGCCAAAAAAAAAAAAAATCAGCACTGGCTTACT